CATGAATTTTTTTTCAAATGAAGTGGATTCTGCTTCAAGTTTATGGATTTGATTGTTCTAGGGAGCTTTAAGAACACACACTGTAATGCTATTTCTTCACTATCATATGACATACACATACACGATCAACATTACAAACATGAACAACATCACTAAACTAAACCTAAGTTGGTCTAATTTTCACCAAATCATGATGTATAGACTTGTTATAAGAAATGATGATATTTGGTTGTTATCAATACAAATTTAAGCGTTTCACTGATCTAAAATTCTGCATCATTTTTACATTTTTCCACTACAATACAGGTCATTTTTGTGGCGTTTAAGGATGACAACAATTGGAACAACAATGGATCAACAACCTAATACTACTAACAAGCATGAATCTAAAAATGCTGCTAAAATTCAGAATTCAGCTCCAGGGTTCAAAAGATGGGGAAGAAAAGGTCCATTTATCAGATATTGTGATTTACATGTGAATCACTTGTGATTCACATGTGAATCACTCGTGACACATGTGAATCACATGTAATTCACATGTAAATCATCTTAATTATTTATTTTTTCTAACCATATAGTTTATTTTAATTGCTTCTATATTGAGCTTCATGAATCACTTGTGATTTACATGTGAATCACTTGTGATTTACATGTGAATCACTTGTGATTCACATATGAATCACTTGTGACACATGTGAATCATTTGTGATTTACATGTGAATCACATGTAATTCACATGTAAATAATTTTAATTATTTATTTTTTCTAACCATATAGTTTATTTTAATTTGTCTCATTTTAGCAATATATCACAAATGAATCACATGTTATTCACATGTAAATCACAAGTGAATCACATATGAGTTACATGTGATTTTCATATGTAATTTACATATAAATCACATGTAATTCACAAGTAAATCACAAGTGATTCACATATGAATTACATGTGGTTCACATGTAATTCACAAGTTAATCACATATGAATTACATATAATTCACATGTAATTCGCATATAAACCACATATAACTCAGAAGTAAATTTCATATGAATTACATGTGATTCACATATAAATCACAAGTAAATCACATATGAATTACGTCTATATGCAAACATGTATTTTTATGAGTTTTTCTTGCATTAATCAATTTTTTTTCTTTTAGATTTGGAAGAATTTGTGGAAAATATTAAAGAGGTGAAAAATGATAAATTAAATAAAATATGGAAATCTTGACCCGAAGACATGAAAACACTTTGAAATTTTGTAGTATTTTTTGTTTTTTTATATTTTATTTTGTATCGAATAAAATACTTGTACTATTGTGTTTATAGATTATTAAATAAAAATAGATTTTTTTATATGATTACATACGAATATTATGGTATAAGAAAGATGCATATATGTACTTCAAAAATATGCATATATGCACCTAAATCGTTGATTTTTTTTGTTAAAAAAATTAGAGCTTTTTTTTTAAATATTCTAGTTTTTTTTTTTTAATTAATTGATTTTTAAAAATTTACTTTTCAAAAAAAATTGCAGTTTTCTTTGAAAAAATTACAGTTTTTTTTTAAAAAATAAAATGTAGTTTTTTAAAAAAAATTGCAGTTTTTTTATAAAAAGATGCAGTTTTTTTTAAATTGCATTTTTTTTAAAAAATATTTTTTTTTTTCAATTAAAAAATTAAAAAATCTCTATGTTTTTAGAAAAAATCGAAATTTATTTTTAAAAAAAAAAACAAATCCGAAATTTGATTTATTATGTTAATTTTTAGAACTTTTTAGTAATATTTCCAATAACAAAAAAAAAATTAACATTAAATGAGATCGGTAAGATGACGATCATGCCCTTAATGACTTAATTTTGATCTAATGCTCCACCTTTAGGAGGTGTTTGGTACAGGGAAATAAGATGAGAGAAATTGAATTGTTTCCATTTCCCTTGTTTGTTTTGTATTAATATGTAGAGAATAGAGAAAAAATTCAATTCCGTTTCCATCAGTTTATTTCTCTATTATTTATGGGGAAAACAGGGGAATTGAGTTGTGAACGCCTTCGAGAATTGAAAAAAAAGGGAGAGTTGAAAATCAAAACCCAATTTCCACAGTTTGAGTCGTGCGTTCTACATTCAAAATCTTTTTTTTCACTTTTACCTTCGATTTCAACTTCAGTTTTGTCACTTCTACCTTCGATCTCAACTTTAATTTTGGATTGTTGCCTTCCATTTCGAGTTTTCTTTTGGACCGGACAATCGAATTCGTGGTTGATTTAACTTCAACCGATCATGATCGTAAATTCGTGATTTTGGTCCACTCAAATTCAAGATCGATTTCAAGGTTGCTTTTGGTGCTAGCTATTTTCTACCAATCGATTCTTGGTAACCCCACAATTCTTCAATTAAGGTAAAAAAAAATCCATATAATAGATTAAATTGTTCTTATGTTCTAATTCATTAGTGTTTGTGAATTATAGTGTGTTTTAAGTGCTTATGGTTTGATCGATTTATGTTGTAGAAGATGATATTCTTTTGATTTATTGTTTGATCATTTTTGAATCAGATGTAGATTGTAATAAGTGTTCATCGATTGCAATTTTTTTACTGGTTTGTGCTTGAATTGTATGAACAAAAGAATTATTTTTTTTTTACTATTTCAGCTTTGAATAAAAAATTTATCCCAACTTTGAACCCCTATAAAATCTTCATACGAGCTCGGAATGAGGTTATTGTTTTTCCAGATTGTAGTTATTTTTCTTGCTTACGTTTTAGGATAAAAAAATAACTTAATTGGTTAAGATTTGGCTGAGTTATACAACCCTAAACAGTGGCTGCTTTGATTGCTGGTTAGTATTTCAGCATTTTTAGAAATTTTGTCCTAACTTTGAACCCCTATAAAATCTTTTTTTTTTTGGAAAGGGAACTTCCCTAACGAGGGTTTCCGGGCCAGCTTTCGCGCACCCCCCCTATAAAATCTTTATATGAGCTCGGAATGAAGTGATGTTTTTTTTTCAGATTATAGTTCTCAGTCTTGGCTACGTCTTAGAATAAAAAAATAGCTTAATTAGTCAAGATTTCGCTGAGTTATACAGCCCTAAACAATGGTTGTTGTGATTGTTGGTTGGTATTTCAGCATGTTTTTAGAAATTTTGTCCCAACTTTGAACCCATATAAAATCTTCGTATGAGCTCGAAATGAGGCGATATTTTTTTAGATTGTAGTCCTCTGTCTTGTCTACGTTTAATCTCAACAAATAACTTATTCGGTTTGGTTTTGGCTAAGTTATACAGCTCCAAAAGTGTCTGTTAGGATTTTTGTTCAATATTCCAAAGAGTGTCTATTTGTAACTTTATTAAAAAAATGTTGTTTAAAAAGTGATAAAACAAGTGTGGTAATATTTCTTTAGTTTGGATCTATTTGTAACTTTATTAAAAAATGTTGTTTAAAAAGAAATAAATAAGGTAAGAAAAAACTCATTTCCAATTCACTGCTTAATACATCCAAACAAGAGAAATAATTCTCAGAAACATTTCTCTAGTGTATTTTCAGTTCTACTAAACAGTGGAATCAATTCTCTTTCTCCAACTTAATTCTCTTTCTCTGCATTTTCATTCTTTATTGCAATTTCATTTTCTCTGTACCAAACGCACCCTTAGTTCTCAGGTTCTCCGAAAACTATGAGTTCTTAACGGATCTCATCAATATATATATATATATATATATATATATATATATATATATATATATATATATATATATATATATAAGTCGTATAATCAGGTCTGTTGTGTAAATAAAACAACCACAATGCTCAATAACCACAACTCCGGATGGGAGGGCTGGTTGGGTGTTGTTTGAGTGTTAGCATTGTTTGCGATTGTTTTGCTCTTTTATTTTTTCTTCCATCTTTTTCTTTTCTGAATATTCTTGAATACTCTGTATGCTCGCTACCATTTTATTTATAATATATTTTGTTGCCGTTCAATATATATATATATAATATATATATATATATATATATAATATATTGAACGGCAACAAAATATATTATAAATAAAATGGTAGCGACCATACAGAGTATTCAAGAATATTCAGAAAAGAAAAAGAGGGAAGAAAAAATAAAAGAGCAAAACAATCGCAAACAATGCTAACACTCAAACAACACCCAACCAGCCCTCCCATCCGGAGTTGTGGTTATTGAGCATTGTGGTTGTTTTATTTACACAACAGACCTGATTATACGACTTGTGAAGCACCTGGAGGACCAATGGAGACCATTAAATTCGACCATGGCATTCTAGGATTGGATCATTGCACCACTCGATCCATCTAAAAGGGCTGTTTTTTTTTATTTCGTGCATTTATCCATAGGAATGATAAGATTTGGATTTCCATTACTAATGTAGTATGAGATTTAGAATCATTGGAGGGGATCTTAAGATTTATGAAACCCCATAGAATCCACATGTAAGTCACGACTATAGCTTCTTGCACTTCAACAAATGATTTTAAAGACCATGAGGTAATCTTGTGGTTACAAAAGTCTTCTAGGGATGGAGGGTTTGATGGCAGAACTTTCCACCAACTGTATAATTGGGACCAAACATGACATGTTATTCGACACTCAAAGAATAAGTGTTTTTCTTCTTCCGGGACGTCTATGCAAAGTGTACAAATTGAATCAGAGCCTACCCCATAATCGGGACCAAACATGACAAGCTTCTTGCACTTTTTTTATATTGTTTTGTAATCTACGCTAGTTAGGCTTCTTTCAATTTTTTTTTTTTTTTTTTTTTTTTTTTTTTTTTTTTTATTGAAATCTCATTGATGTTGACAAAAAACGCCAGATTAAGCATGTGCTGATCAAATAATACGATTTACCAGCTTTTTAGAACTCAAAGTCCACCCTGTTTCAGGTTTTTTGTCCATTAGGAAAACAACAAATAGTTAAAAAAGAAAGTCCGTATATGCGACATGGAGACTTTGTGAAATCTTTGTGGGCTTTTAACAAAATCTCTTTGGAATACATTTCCCTGCCACAGCTTTCTCTCTCTTCACTTCCTCTTCATCCTCCACCATTGACACTGTTGTCTTGGATATCCTGACACCAAATTACAGATCTGATAATTAATGTGATTATCCCTAAACATATCAAATAATTTTTATAAAACATGCGTCACAAACCTTTCCTCTTTGTAAGATGATGACTTGCTCAACATGGTTTCCACTTGAACCCTGTCTTCTGTCGTCATCGTCTCCACGATGCTCCCACTGAAATACTCCCTCTCCTCCGCCTGCAAATTCCCAAACCGTGGATTCTCCGACATGCAACATATCTCATCTTCCTCACCTACACCCACTGCCACCGCCACCGCCGCCTTACACAGAACATCTTTATGTAAACTGCTAGAGCTACAGCTGCTCTTCCTAGCCGCTGTGTTGGGTGGTGGTTGTTGATGATGATGATGATCAGCTGCTTTTCCTTTAAACCCCATCGAGCCACCGCATGCCATTAAGTGAAGAAGCACCGAGTTACGACTCAGTGGTGGGTAAGGATCGCCGTCCTCAAACCGCTTGGATGGAGATGGAGGTGATGGTGTGGTGACGATGGTGGGTTTTGGAAGGATATCCCTTGAACATCTTGAAGGAGTGGTTGTGTAGTTTATTCTCTTTTCTTCAAAATCTAATTCCTCTTCGTTGAATTCGGTATGTCGTTTCGGTGTTATCTGGCTGCGTTTTGGGACTGCCATTTGCGATTCGTGTTTATCTAAGAAAAAACATCAAAAAAATTGAGTTTTAGAACAAAAAAGTACGGAATTTAACGATCTTCAACACATTATACTAATTTTTTTTATATGAAAACAAAATATATTGATTACATAAAATTGAAATAAGTCCCTAAAATTCGGGAGCATTAGACATTATAACCACACATTATAAAAAGATGTAATAAGTTATTAGATCATAATTAATTTCGATTTAAATTATGTTGTTATTCCAAATATATATATATATATATATATATATATATATATATATATTATGCAGACGTGTGGACAGTGTTATTCTGTGAAATTGACAAAGAAAATATGTTGTTTGATAATGTGAATACGTTCAATCTTACATAATTATTGTCATTATTACATATTCTTACTAACTAAATCGTCTATAAGGTTATTATAAGGTTATTATAGACTTATTATTATTATTCTCATTTTGTCAGAATGTTTATTGAGTCGTATTCTGTAAAAATGAAAATGCGTGAAAAACGATGCGTGAGAACAAAAATGAATAAGAATTAGTGAGAATGCATGAAAATGACGATAGTTGTGTGAGGTTGAACGTATTTACATTACTAAACAACTTATTCTCTTAGTAATTCTCGTAGAATAACACTCTCCACACGTCCGCACAAAAGTTGTTCATCCACATTATAACTTAGCCCTATATATATATATATATATATATATATATATATATATATATATAGATTATATATATATAGAAAACAAAAAACAAAAAAAAACCCTAAAAATCAAAAAAATGCATTGAAAAATAATACTTAGAGATCACAAACTTTTTTTTGATTTTTTTTTTTATAAAAAATCGCAGCTTCTTCTTAAAATTCGCTGAAAAAAAAAATCAATTTTTTTTTTGTAAAAAAAAAAATTCAAAATTTTTTTTAGTGAATTTGTATAGAAAACTGCGATTTTTTTATAAAAAAACATTCAAAATTTTTTTTTTGATCTCTAAGTATTTTTTTTATACATTTTTATGATTTTTAGGGTTTTTTGTTTTCTAAATAACCCTTTCCTATATATATATATATATATATATATATATATATATATATATATATATATATATATATATATATATATATATCTATATAAAGCATTGGAATTTTTATGTTTAAATATTTTATCTAATACATATAAATTTGTTAGATTCTTAAAATGTATTTTTATCTGTTGTATAGCTAAATAAAACAAAATTTTACATATCTTAAAATTAACGAAAGAATTTGTAAATATTTATATGTGCATTACCTTAAAAAAGATACCGTTTCATTGACGTTCACATTTTACTATTTACAACACTGAAATAATCTGTTTAATAAGGAAAATTTGGCATGAAGACAGGTATAATACAGAATTTAATACATGCAAGAAGATGGTGTTAATCCGAGACGTACATAAAAAAAAAGCCTGTTGTGGTTATGTCTTTTAAGAAGCAATACAGTGAAAAGTAAAAGTGAATTTAATTAGAAAAAGGACTAAGGAGTTGAATGTCATTCTCTTGCATTTATTTCCATATCTATTTTTATTATTCTTTTAACCTGTAAATCTCATTTTGTCCTCGCTGGTTGTTTTTTAACAATTTTTTGATGAACAAAAGATTGAAAAGCCCTAATAAATTTTGAACAAATTATCTAAAAACCCACTTTTATTTTTTAAAATGTTAAATTGTATTATCTAAGACTTTAATAACAGTAAATCCTACATAGCCACAAATATTAGGTTATCGCCTATCTAGTACAAAACTTTTGAAAATATAAAGGTTTTAATGCATGCATTAAAAAAAATATAGCCGTTCTTCTATTGGTTCAATGAAAAAATAAGTTGTGTTTATCTAAGGTCAAAAAACCTAAAATAAGACTTATTATTAGTGAGGGGTATTTCAGTTAAAGAGTTATTTATTTTTGAAAGTGATTATTATTTTAAGACAAACCAAAAATAAAAGATTACGATTAAATTAATATGAGAATGAGGAAGTATATAACTTATGTCAATTGCAAAGTTGACTGAAAAGGTAAAAACAGTATTGCATAACAAATAAAATAAAGATAATATCATATAATTTATATGAATTGCTAAAAAATATTAAACATCATTATAAACAAACATAAATACATACACAGATATCTATTATAAGATAGATAGTAGTTATAAGAGTATACTGTTGCACTTTCTCTCCTATTTCATCATATAACCATTTATTTATTAAAAAAGAAAGAGAAATTGTATTTAACCTGGCGAGTGGTGTACGAGTTGAGAAGCCTTGAGTACATACTCATCTCCTTCTGATGGACAAATTACATCATTCTCACCCAAGTCATTCCACACATATCCATTCTTGTACATCCTAAAAAACAACCACATTTATATCAATAAATGAATAAAGATTTTTTAAATTAAACACAAATGATATTTTGAGTGAAAAAGGTAAAAAGCTTCGACCTTTTGCAAGACCAAGAGTAGAGAGAAGGCATTCCTCTACCTCTAAGAACACTGAGTCTCTCCAACACGTCTACAGTATCAAACGTATAAGTCAAACACTAAAAGGTAAAAATTAGAAGGTTAAATCATTTGAAGAAAATGAAGAACCTTTGAGACGAAGCTGGTGATGAACAAAATGTGAGACTTCTAGGATATGAGGGTGCTCAAGTTGACCATTCTTGGAAAGATAGTAAACGACTTGGACCTTTTTGAATGTTGGTTTGACCATAGTGGTTGACTTTGGTGGAAGTTTGATTCTTCTTCCCTCGGCCATTTTTTGTTGAAAGCGAACTTTGTCTTTGGACCACCTTTTATCCTGAGGCAGGAAAGATTTAACACACACACACCGAGAGAGAGAGAGAGAGAGAGAGAGAGAGAGAGAGAGAGAGAGAGGTGACGTGAAAAGTGAGTGTGACCGGTGATGTTTAATCTGGAGTCGATTTCTTTTATTTATATACAAGTTATATCTTTTCTATAAAAAGATAAATTTACCGGTTGATAGCAGTCCTGATATTTGGATTTTAAGATATATCTAGTTACTAAAGTCCAAGATCTAGTATTTGTTTTTACATTTATCATAACATCACTACATAAATTCTAAATTTGCACTTGGGTAGATATAGTGGCGCTTATGTCGGGGTAGAGGCGATACCGTCAGTGAAATATTTTGGTCATCCAATGGTACCGTAGAAATGAATAGGAGCGGATTATATAATTCGTTCAATGTGTCTCTCTCTTAGACTCTCTTTGTACTCTCAAACCTACGAAGTTGTATTTCATTCATAAAGATATATATTGAAATCGTGTTGTGTGATTTCTTAGTAGTTTGTGAATTTGTTTAATATTATGTGAATTAGTTTATATTTACTTCAAAAAAAATAATAATAATAAGTTGGTTGTGAAGGATGAAAAAGATGGGTTTTCATATAATATAGTAGGTGTGAAATTGTGTGAGAGAATATTATGTATTTGACAAAAATTATATCTCAATTAATTTGAGAAAAAGATGTTTGTAACGTGTCTTGATAAGGCGAACTACCTTCAAGAAGAAGAACCAAGATCCTTCAAACTGACCGATGTAATTAAAAATTGATTTTACTTTGTTTTATATTATACAATATGTATTTTGTTCCTATATTAACACTACTACAATGACAAATCTACCAAATATTATTTGGATAATAATGGATAGTAGTTTATATTTCTAGGAATTCAACGGTTAAGCAAACATTATATTACGCGTTTTTGACAATACATATCATTTTACAACGAAATAAATCATAAAATTTGACAAAAAAAAATGATAATATTGAAGTTAACTTGCATAAAAATATATAGCGATGAAACTGATGGTGCACGTCTATAATAGAACATTGTAAAATATATATTTTCAAGAATCAAACACATGTCTTATCTATTTAATTCTTATGCATAGGCTAAAGTTACAATGAATCATTGGTATTTGGCTAAGTGTCAATAAAAACAAATAAAAAATCAACTGATTAATAGTAGCCAAGATGAAAAAACAAACCATACAGTAAATGTAACATCTCAATGATTAATAGTAGCCAAGATGAAAAAACAAACCATACAGTAAATGTAACATCCCAATTTCAAGACCAAAATTTTTGTTTTTAATCATATTACTTATAAAACAGTTACTGAAAAACATCATCATCATCATTTCAAGTCATCAAACCATAATCACATGTCTCAAAAATCATATCATCAAAATAGTAATAATGTCAGAGTACAATCCCATGGTTCTCAAAATGCGGAATCATGTGTGTGCGATGCGCTGCTACAGTGTCGGCTCCTTCTCCTTCGACGAAGAGGTACCTGAAACCAAAACTGAAAACCGTAAGCACAAAGCTTAGCGAGTTCCCCCATCATACCACATACCATACAACATACATACTGTCGGGCAATTCTGGGGTGCCCGACCTACCCATGCCAAGCAGTTCTGGGGTGCTGACCTACCCATGTCAAGAAGTTCTAGGGTGCTGACCTACCCATGTCAAGCAGTTCTGGGGTGCTGACCTACCCTCCGGTTTATCTCAACCGGCTACGATGACTATTTCACCCCCTACTACTACCACACAAAACATAGCATAAACATACTGTCAGGCATATCTGGGGTGTCGGCCTACCCTTCGGTCCTAACGACCGAACTCGGGGACTACTCCCCTCCTACTACCACTAACTCATACAACAAATCATGCTAGCACATAAAACACATCAGGTAGTATCAAACCTAGATAATTATCACAAAGACAATCATCTATCAACAGCTCCTACTAGTGGGTCGACATTGTGGCCCTAGACCCACTCCTACTAGAAGGTAACTCACCTCAATGTCGTGCAGTCTGAACTGTCCTCGATGTCGGGATCAACTCCTCTCAACTCCTGCACATAACAACCTTCCTTAATTTACCTTTACATACCCTTAACCCTTACAAGGGTTACTCAGGTCAAAGCCAAAGTCAAGGTCAACCTCTTGGTCAAAGTCAACTCTAGGTCAAAGTCAACATTTGGTTGACTCAACTCGCCGAGTTGACCCAACAACTCGTCGAGTCCCCAAATCATCAAAATACTAGAACCTCGATCTTACTCGCCGAGGATTGCACGCACTCGCCAAGTTCTCCTTCATACAAAGTCGGGACCTTCTTCATCTGACTCTCCGAGTTCATCCTTGAACTCGTCGAGTCCTTCTTCATGCAAGAATACACATTTAGCCCTAGACTCGCCGAGTTCCTTATGCACTCGTCGAGTACGCCTTCATGCAGTTGGGACTTGCCTTGAACTCGCCGAGTTCTGCTCTTGAACTCGCCGAGCTCCATGATTTCCATGCCCAGTTTCACAACAATCTTGTTGAGTCCTCTTTTAGACTAAACCAGTTCGATCCAAGCAGAAAAGGGTTGGGGAACCATACCCCGACTCGTCGAGTCCCAAGAACGACTCGCCGATTCCTCCAAAGTCCATGTCCATACAGTTGATTTCAGTCAGGTTTAACACACCCAAAACATAGATCTGGCCTCCTAGGGTCCATAATACACGTAAAGTTACAAACTTGACGTTCATACATGGGGTATTTGGCTCAAATGGCCCTAAAATGGTGTCTACAAGATGCATGGGGCTCTTATGGCAATAGAGTTGGCACCTTTATGCCATAGGAACCCTCAATGGTTCCAGATCTGAAGTCATACCCCTCTATAACCACAAAATCCCGAGAATGGCACTTCTAAGGCTTAGAAAAGGTAAAAATGAACCCTAACTAGAGATCTAAGAGATAGATGGTCAAGGTTTCAGCTTTATACCTCAAATGAGTTGGAAATATGCCAAAACCTTTGGATCTTCTTGCTTCCTCTTGATCTCTCAAGCTTCCTTCTTCTTCTCTAACTTCAAATACACACAAAAGGCACCAAGAAGCTCAAGAACACTCAATAATTGATTAGGGTTTCGAGTTAGGGCTTTTCTGGACTGGGAGGGACGATGGAGGTTGGGTTGGGACAAGATAAGGTGCTTAAATAGGGTGCAAACCCTAAATATTAGGGTTTCATCCAGACAGTCCTACTCGCCGAGTCGGGCTCTCCGACTCGTCGAGTAGGTTACTTAAATCCCGCGTCCAAGAGTCTAGTCTACTCGACAAGTTGGGCCTCCAACTCGCCGAGTCCCAATGTAAAAACATATAATTTTTAAATTTAGAATACGTACCGGAAATCGGGTGTTACAATAAACCTTTTAACATACAAAGAAATTTTAGTAGAATCTTGAGTTCCCAAAAATCAAAAATAAATAACTACAAAAAATAAGAAATTGGTTACGACTCCATTCCTTCAAAACTTACATGATTACATTCAGCCACTTTGCATCCCGATAACATTACTTTCGTAATATATTTTCTCACATTTATTATTACATGATACATTCAACCAAAATTTCTTTTTTTCTTGGACTGTCTATTTTTTCTAATTGAAATTTAAAGAAAATTACCTGGCATAAAAATATCCAGGCAGCTATTTTTCCGTCTTCTCAATCGCTTTTATATAACTTTACCATAGTTGTAGTGAGAAATCAATAAATCAGATGGAATAAAATCCATAAGGAATATGCATTTAACATGGTGGTAGACTCATAAGCTCGTCTACATCCTGATTATCACCAACAACTGAGGCGTTTTCTTCAAATTGAGGTTTGTTAGTAATTGTATCTGGAGGAGATTCTACTGGATTAAATATATGATTTTCCCCAAGACCTGAAAGCATTATCATCTGGTCAAATGGTAGAGATCGAGAACTATATGGTGAAATTTGTAAACATTTGTGGAGGAGCATAAGCAGCTTGTTCAACTTGTACTTCCAGATTAGGCTTCATAGACTCGAAAATAGGAAAACAAATTCACAATTTAATAATGAAGAAAAAACATTCAAATACCTTAATGTAATCTTCAACAACTTTTTTTGTTGTTTAACAAGAATAATAAATGGGCAAACTGCAAAAGAATGTGAATAAAAAAATTTACTACAGATCCAAAAGAATATCACGTCTAATATAGATTTATCGAAATATGTTTGTTCATATAAAGAGTGAAGGAGAAAGGTCAAACCTATTTCCTCAACAACATAGGGCCAACAATAATACCAACTATAGTCGGATCCCATGTAAAATTTGCAACTACCTACAGTGAGCATTTAAAGTCTTTAAAATACAAAGAAATATAGCAAAAACCCACTCATAGAATGTGAAATTCACCCTTTTGTTTTGCATGATACGAAGTTGTGGAACAACCGACAACAGATTCCAGATAAGCACAAAACACCTAGGAGATCTGAAGGCTTTGATGTTTTCCAAGATTTGTTGTCATCATACTCATCTAGTTGGTCACCATATTGTAGTCCATAGCCAAACTCAACATAGAACCGACCAATATGCTCTATGTTAACATGTGGGAGTGGGACCGAAAAGGAAGAAATTTTGATTATTTTATCTTTAAATACATGAAACATTACTAACTGTTGTGATTTATACTTGCCCTATGTCCTGAAGGGGTCAGGTGAATTACCCTATTTATTACCCGATACGCAATGCTTGCCATTGGCAATAAGATCAACACCTGAAACTGATCATAATTTTTATAACCCAACACTTGATATAGTGAATATAATACATCAATAAGTGAAAATTTTCACGTTAAATTCTTTATAGTATATAAACAATATAATTCATAAACATAAGCAATTGAAGATTGAAATGTATTGCAATGTAAGGCACTGT